CTTCCTCATCTACCTTCCTGCCATTCACAACATGAAGCCCAAGGTCCCTGGAATGGTGGTCAAGGCCTTTCACAACTGAGCCAGATTTATCCTTCAGCCTCTTCTCCCGTCTCCATTTACCCCTCAAGCTCCAGCCACACTGACCTCCTCTGTGTTATCTGAACACACACTCTGCACACGGTTTCCTCTGCCTTCGCTTGCTTGCTGTTGGTGAGCTTCTATTCATCCTTCAAGGCCTTCAAATATTACCCCTGTGAAGCCTTTCCTTACCCTCTTTTGGGCTCATTAATTTTGCCTTCCAGCTCTGTTGCAGGATCTGTCACATTGTATAGCCCACTCTTTTCTGACTATTTCCCTTTCTAAACAGTGCTTTCCAAGGCCACCACCAATCCTGATTCTGTGCTGATTCATTCCCTGGCACAAAGCAGGTAACTGGGTGCTGAATGTGAATGAATGGATGGGAAAGGGCAGGGTGCTTGAGACCGAAACACGTTGATCCTACCCATCTCTTTCTTCCAGGAGTACTGACATTGAGAAATTATCCACCTATTGACAAACTCATGTCGATTCTATTACCTGAAGTAGAAATTTCTCTCATGTTCCCTTGTCTGACATCCCCGGCCCCTTGGGCCTGGATCTGGTTACTCCTTGCTAGCCAATCTTAGCTCTGGTATCTGTCTGCTCACCAAGATATCAGTTCACTGCCACTGCTGGATCTTCATGATGGGCTGGCCTGCTACAGAGCCCTGTTCAGGCTGGTACTGTCCATCTCAGGTGATTTCTGTGTCCCTGCCAGTTAAGTCCCTGCAACCTCTGTGGCTGGGTGGACACAGCCACAGACACCTCTTCACCTGGGGAGACTGATACCCTGGCAGCCTGACTAAGGAAGCCTCTGGTGACTGAAGAACAGACAGCTGGTGGTGGTAGTTTAGACGCTCAGTCATGTCCGACTCTTGCAGCCTCATGGACTGGAGCCCACCAGGCTCCTCTGTCCACGGGACTTCCCAGGCAAGTATACTGGAGTGGGTTGCCATTTCCTTCTCCAGGGCATCTTCCCCACCCAGGGATTGAACCCACATCTCCTGCATTTCAGGCGGATTCTTTACTGCTAATCCACCAGGGAAGCCCATAACTGACATCTACGTGTCGCTTTTCTGTAGTCATGGACTCCCCTTCCCTCCCAGAAGGGTTTTTGTCCTCTAGGCTTCCAGCTGCCTGAAAATCCTGGAGTTGCCGGGACCACTGTCAGAGCACTTACTTTGTTAATCACACAGTGTTAGAGTATCCCACCCAACGTGATCCCTGGCTAAGGAAAGATGCCCTTGGAATTCACTTGTCAGGTATTGTTATTTAGAAATAACCAGCTTTATAGGACAATGGAGTGACCAATTGATGACTCAGCTGTGTCAGGTTATTGCACACCGAGTAAAATAGAGGCTTGAAATAAACAATCGGTATATAATTATTTTTTATTTTTTTGTAGCCAGAATACATAGGAAGAGGTAGAGGTAGGTGTGGCAGGTTACATGATTGTACCTAATGACTTTCTCAGAATCTGTCTCCTGTCTCTGACATTCTACATTCTGCAGTTCGGGAGGTTTAGCATCTAGGGAGGAATGTTTCTAACCAGGGAATGCAAAGATGATTCCACTGCATTTTGGGCTCCTCATAATACTAGAGGAATAGGAGAAAGGAGGTCACACTGTAGGCTGGACTGATAATGACTATTAAGGGGAAATAGAGTTGCTACTACTTAATGAGGGCTGAGAGGTACCTGAGTGGGACCCAGGGGACCACCCTGTACTCTTGTGCTAATCAAGATTCTTTCAACTGCCAGTCAGAGAAACTCCCTTCGAGTCAGGCTTGGAAAAATAAGGGCCTGGTGTACCAAGGCCTCGGAAACAAGGGCAGGACTATTACCAGGACTTCTGTCCTTCTGTGTCTGCATGCAGACTACTTTCTCCTACAAATAGGCTGACTTCTATTTGGCAAGGAATGTGACTGCTGTGGCCCCAGGCTCACATCTTCCTTGCTTTGCCTTCTTTAATTTTATTTCAGAAAGTCCCAGAGAAGGCCTCTGACTCACCTAGAGTGGGAGTCGTAATCCTCGGCTCCTCAAACTTCCATGAGATCCACCCAGTTAGAGCTGGGAGAGACCAGGCCCAAAGGAGAGGCAGGAGGAGCTTTTCAGGACTCACCAAACAAATAATTAGACAAGGCTGTGACTGTATGACATGGAAGACCTGCATCACTGCACACCACCAAAGCTCAGACACTTTACAAGTGAGGATTTGGGTCACATCAGAAGGAAGAAAACTCCAGTTGAAGGTAAGGGGAACTTGCAGTAGATAAGGGAAAAGGCGGCTAGTTAGGCCTTGGTACCTGATGTGGAAATGGGACTGAGGTCTCTGCATATATATTTTTAGCTGGAGGGGTGTCCAAAGCTTGAATTACTTCTGCCTTTTCCTTTTTATTTCCTCTTCCTTCTTAAAATAAGAATTTTCATAATTATATTTTTTTCTTTTCTATTTCCCTTATTTTGTATATAGGATTTGTTGGTGTGATTTAATTTGCCATTTACTTTCTAGGTTGTGCTAGTCACTCAATGTGTCTGACTCTTTGTCACCCCGTGGACTATATAGCCTGCTAGGCGCCTCTGTCTGTGGAATCCTCCAGGCAAGAATACTGGATTGGGTTGCTATTTTCTTCTCCAGAGGATCTTCCCGACCCAGGGACTAAACCCAGGTCTCCTGTATAGCAGGCATCTGAGCCACCAGAGACTCTCTAGGTTGCAGAATGGTAAGTTGGAATTAAGTTGGAAATGGAAGAGGATGGCTTATCATAGAGATTAGAAACAAATTCTTCCTTTTAAAGAAAAAAAAAAGCAAAAGAAAGAGAAGAGGGAAAGACAAGGGTAATTTTTTGGCCTCCGGGCATAGCTTGTGGGATTTTAGTTCTCCAACCAGGGATGGAATCGGAACCCTTGGCAGTGAAATCACAGATCCTAACCACTGGTGGTTGTTGTTTGGTCACCCAGTTGTGTCTGACTCTTTTTGACCCCATGGACTGCAGCATGCCAGGCCTCCCTGTCCCTCACCATCTCCTGAAATTTGCCCAAGTTTATTCCAGTTCATCGGTGATGCCATCCAGCCATCTCATCCTCTGACACCCTCTTCCCCTTCTGCCCTCAATCTTTCCCAGTATCAGGGACTTTTCCAATGTGTCAGCTGTTCACATCAGATGAACAAAATACCGGAGCTTCAGCTTCAGCATCTGTCCTTCCAATGAGTATTCAGGGTTGATTGCCCTTAAGATTGACTGGTTTGATCTCCTTGCTCTACAGGGACTTTCAAGAGTTTTTTCCAGCACCACAGTTCGAAGGCATCAATTCTTTGGAGCTCTGCCTTCTTTATGGTCCAGCTCTCAGAACCATACAAGACCAATGGGAAGACCACAGCCTTGACTATTTGAACCTTTGTGGGCAGAGTAATGTCTCTGCATTTCAACACACTGTCTAGGTTTGTCATAGCTTTCCTGCTAAGAAGCAATTGTCTTCTGATTTCATGGCTTCAGTCACCATCCGCAGTGACTTTAGAGCCCAAGAAGAGGAAATCTGTCACTACTTCCACCTTTTCCCTTTCTATCTGTCATGAAGTAATGGGGCTGGATGCCATGATCTTAGTTTTTTAATATTTAGTTTTAAGCTGGTTCTTTCACTTTCCTCCTTTCCCCTCATCCAGAGGCTCCTCAGATCCTCCTCGCTTTCTGCCATTAGAATGGTATCATCTGTATATCTAAGGTTGTTGATGTTTCTCCCGCCTATCTTGATTTCAGCTTGTAACTTATCCAGCCCCGCATTTCTCATGATGTGCTCAGCGTATAAATTAAACAGTGATGGCAGACAGCCTTGCTGTATACGACTCCTTGCTCCATCTTGAGCCAATCAGTTGTTCCATACAAGGTTCTAACTGCCGCTTCTTGGCCCACATACAGGTATCCCAGGAGACAGCTAAGATGGTCTGGTGTTCCCATCTCCTTAAGAGCTTTCCACAGTTTGTTATAATCCACACAGTCAAAGGCTTTAGCATAGTCAATGAAACAGGTAGATGTTTTTCTGAAATTCCTTTGCTTTCTCTATGATCAGGTGAATGCTGGCTACTTGATTTCTGGTTCCTCTGCCTTCCCAGGGTATTTTTAAACGTATTATGATTGAAAGATGAATCATATTTAATTGGTGGCATGGAGGGGGGAGCATGAGAAAGGTATGGCAAATTGCTGGGTTTACAGTAAAGCTGTGGGTGTGGAAGGGACCTCCTGGAAGCTCACTGGCCCTAAAGGCTAAATTTGTCACAGACGTCTTTCTGGGGCTGCCTCTCCCTAAGGGAGGTTTTATCATTAGAGTCAGCAATTACTCTGTTCATTAAGTGACTTCAATGAAATAAGCACAAAACGAACCTATAACTTCAAATTGTGAAAGAAAAGGAAAAAAAGCCTTGGGATAATATAATAAGGGAACTATCCGGCCTAGGAGGTCAGAGAAGGTTTACCTGAGAAGAGATCTGAGATAGGAGAGGAGAGAGAATTTTAGGCAGAGGGAACAGTGCGGCAGAAAGGAGCGCGAGGCTTCTCAGCTGCAGAGCCCAAGAGCAAAGGCTGAAGCTGGAGCGAGAGAGCAGGATGCTGAGCCCCGCGGCGGCTGCCTTAAGGATTTAAGCGGAAAGGCGGTAGCCCCTGACGGCTTTTAGGCTGGAGGGTGGCGGTGTCACGATCAGATTGTCATTCTGAAAGTGGCACTGTGAGGCAAACCGATCGGTGAGAACCAGTGAATGCGGTTAAGAATTAAATAGGACCTGCAAGGCTGGGTCCAGGCTGCCGGAGGCGGGGGAGGCGGTTCCGCCGCTCGGAACCGCGCGCGGCTCCGCAGAAAACCGAACCGGCCCACGTGGGCCAGGCCGCCCCGCCCCGCCGTGCTGACGCCGCCCGACTCCGCAGTCCGGGCCTGGGCTGGGCGCAGCGCCCGGGAACCCGCACTCCACGCCCCGACCCGCGGGGACGCCCAGGCCGAGGGACCACCTCCCCAGCCCGGAGGGAGCAGTTCCCGCCGCGGGGACCTCGCCACCAGAGCCAGCCGGGCGGGGCGGCGCCTCCAGGCCGTGAGTCGGGGCTAGAGCGGGAGGGTTTGGACCCCAGCCGCAAGGGGCTGGGGTCGTTGCCTCTGCCCAGCTGCCTTTTGCTGGGGGGGTTCGTGTGGGGGTGGGAATAGGGAATAATGGTCTGGATCCTCTGTCTCCTGGGGATGGTCTCCCTCTCCCGCAAGTCTAGGCAGGAAGGGAAGCCGCCTCCGCTCATCCTTACTGCCACCCCCCCCCAATGGAGAGAAGCCTGATGCCAGGATGTCTCGGTTCCCATTTTACCTTCCCTGAGACCCCCTTTATCTTTCCACCACCCCCGCCTGTTTGCAGCTTGCTTCACGGCCCCGCCCAAGTTTAGAAAAAAAGAAAACATTTGGGCGGGGACGATCTCCAGGCACCTTGTTTAGCGAGATGGAGTCTGTAGGTTACCAAGGGACTGTCCCTACACTGTCGCCCCCAGGACTTCTTCCCAGTACTGTACTGGATGTGGGAGGGTCCCTGCCACATTCACTGACACTCCCCCTTCCTCTTACTGATTCCGTTTTTCTAATCCTAGTAATTTATGGTCAGTAGAAACTTCTTGTCAATTTAAATCCAGATTTTGGGAGAAGTCGGTTATTGGAAGGAAAGAATAAAGTGGTGTGTCCTCTCTCCAGGGCCTCAGGATGGAGCTAGATAGAGGCAAGGACTCAGGACAGTAATAAACATGGAAGGAAGGGGTGAGGTCAGAAGAGAGGATTGTCAGTGGGAGAAGGGCTTCCTCACTGGGCAGGGGAAGGAACCCAACTCAGCTCTTCCAGCCCTGAGCAGTCAGCAGCCCAGATCCAACTGCCCTGCTCACTCACTTAGCAAGGATGCACTGCCGCCTGCCAGGTGCCAGGTTCTGTGCTGGCTCCTGAACATGGTGGAGGTTATAGAGAGGAATTCCATGTCCAGTAGGGGGGCCAGTAGGCTGCTATTACAAGATAGAGGAAACAAAAACAAGTTGAATAGACATTTACTGACCATCAGCTATATGCCGGGGACAGGAAACAAACAGGCATAAGACAGCATGTATTCAAGCAGTGAGGGTCCCGAGGAAGGCACTGTTGGCTGTGTGTGTTTGTACATAGGCACCGTGGGGAGAACGCCAGGATGGCTTCAGGGAGGTGGGGATATTAGAGCTGAGTCTTAGCATACAAAGACGTCCCTTGTGGCTCAGCTGGGAAAGAATCTGCCTGCAGTGCAGGAGACCTGGGTTCGATCCTTGGGTTGGGAAGATCCCCTGGAGAAGGTAAATTCTGCCCACTCCAGTATTCTGGCCTGGAGAATTCCATGGACTTTATAGTCCATGGGGTCGCAAAGAGTTGGACACGACTGAGCAGCTTTCACTTCACTTAGTATACGGAAAGGAATATGTCAATGAGCTGGGATGGAAGGGGAGAGGAAGGAGATATTGGGCCAAGAGGATTGTGGGAGGAGAATAATGGTGTGTTCTGAGATCTCTGAGCAGTTTGGGATGGTGGGAGGGGCTGAGTGGTAAGAGGCAGGTCTGAGGCAGTGAGCAGGGGCCAGAAGAAACACAGCCGCTTAGGCCAGGAAGAGGTTCAGCAGGAGGTTAGGGCGGGAGCCATGACAAATTTACATTTTTAACTAGAGGCAGAGAGGTCAGTGAAAAAGTCGTGGCAGTCAGTAATCCAGGTTAGAAATGGCCCAAACCAAGAGAAAGGGGAGATGTATGTACATGCGCAGGCGTATGTGCCCACAGTTTCCGGTCGGCATGACTGACTGGAGAGTGGGCCTGCTTTGCTGAGGACACTGAATAGGGGGAGCAGGGCGGGCTGTGTAGAATCTGAGGAGCCCATGGTTGGTTGCAGAATTCAATAGCATTTGGATCTGACTCTCTGACAGATCCGAGAGTCCCCAGCACACGGTAGTTCTTGAACCTCCGGCGGAAGATGAGGTCATCTGGGGAGAAGTGTCTGTGAGGAGAGGACGGCTTGCCTCAGGGCTGAGGGAGAGCCTGTGAGGAGACTGAGAATCGGGGTCAGGAGGGGAAGAGGACAACCCCAGGGAGGCGTTAACAGAGTCAAGGCAAAGGCCTTGTGTCTGTTGCTCGGGTCTCTCGACTTCAGGCACCCCACCTTCACCTGCTCTGACTCATTCTTCTGCTTCCCATCTACAGACCAGATGTTCGCCATCCAGCCAGGGGTAGCTGAGGGGGGTCAGTTCCTGGGGGGCCCACCTCCTGGAGCATGTCCACCCGAACTTCAACCAGACAGCAACTCCAACTTCATGACGAGTGCCAAGGATGCCAATGAGAATTGGCACGGGATGCCAGGCCAAGTGGAGCCCGTACTAACGAGGAGCTCCTCTGACTTGCCCTCTGACAACCATGATTTCCAGGCTCCTGGACTCCCTGAGGGGGAGGTCCGCAGCCCGCCGGAGGGGGCAGAGATTCCTGGAGCTGGGCCTGAGAAGACGGGAGGTGCCAGCACAGTCTGCTCCCCGCTGGAGGACAACGGCTATGCCAGCAGCTCCCTGAGCGTTGACAGCCCTAGCTGCAGCCCTGAGTCTGCCTGTGGGACCCCTCCTGGCCCTTCAGACCACCTTCTGCCCTCAGTGGCCCAGGCCGTGCAGCAGCTGCAGGCTCAAGAGCGCTACAAAGAGCAGGAGAAGGAGAAGCACCACGTGCACTTGGTGATGTACCGTCGCCTGGCCCTGCTCCAGTGGATCCGGGGCCTGCAGCACCAGTTGGTTGACCAGCAGGCCCGTCTGCAGGAGAGCTTTGACACCATTTTAGACAACCGGAAGGAGCTTATCCGCTGTCTCCAACAGAGGGCAGTACCATCCAGGCCCCAGGACCAAGACTAAGGGTGTCTCTGTACAGGGATGCAAGGGTTTATGTATATATTTGCAGACATGTGTGTGGTTATGCACAAGCAAGTACAGATCATTTGCTGCTATAAGTGCAGGGAAGCATAAGTGAGTATGTCAGTGCTAACATGTAGGCAGATGTGCACAGGCCACGTGTGAATCTGCACCTGTGCATCAGTATGTGTGCTGTGTGGACACACAAGCCTATGTGTGAGTATGTACATATGTGTATGTATAGCATGTATGTTGTTGTTATTGTTTAGTTGCTAAGTCATGTCCTACTTTTTTGTGACCCTGTGGACTGTAGCATACCAGACTCCTGTGTCCATGGGATTTCCCAGGCAAGAATACTGGAGTGGGTTGCCATTTCCTTTTCCCAGGGATCTACCTGACCCAGGGATCGAACCTATGTCTTCTGTATTGGCAGGTGGATTCTTTACCACCTGAGTTACCGGGGAAGCCCATAGTATATATGTAGGAGGAAGTATATTTGTATGTGCATGCATGGATGGGTACCCCATGGTGTGTATCTATGTGCATGAGTGAAGACATGCAAAAGATGTGTGTTTACATATGAGTGAGTTTGAGTGTGCAGATTTCTGGTGGGTATTTGTGAATGAGCCCTCGTGTGTACAGGCCTATGTGTAGGGGTGTATGTGTGTGCATGGGATATGCATATTAGGAGCATGTATGTTCAATTGTATATGTAGGGCATCCATCCATACCTTATGTTACCTGTGGTCTACACTACCCTTTTGTCTCCACAGGGTCCCACTGCTCCCCTGGAGAAAGGGCTAGCCTGCTCTCATTTATCTGAAGGTTGTGGCTGATTGATCCATTCTCTTGGAATTTCTCAGGCTAACTCTTTTGATCCCTCACCTTCACTCTTCCAAGACCTTGCTCTGCTAAGGCTGTTGTCCCTGATGGGTTTCCTGCTCTGGCCAACCATGGCTTTTTGGCTGCAATTTTTCCAGGGCAATTGGTGGAGAACTGCTCTCAGGGAAGAGAACTAGGATGGTGATTGCCACCATGGCAGGCACGGGGGCGAGATCAGAGAAGAAGATAGAGGACTGTCCTGCTTGAACTCTGCCATTGGGCACATGTGAGATGGAGATGGAGGAGATGACAATGGTAGGACCCTGAGAAGACTAGGAGAATGGGAATTCTAAAACACCAGTTCCAAACAAATCACATCCCTCCACTGCAGAGGATCTGTTGCAAACCTTATTGGCTTAAACTTCTGATGAAGAGGAATCTGTGTTGATATAATGTCATATGTCAATTACACCTCAATAAAAAATAAAAAAAAGAAAAGGAATGTGTGCTTTCTAAGCTTGCAAGGAATGGACAGGTATTCTAAGGCTGTTGGGGAAAACCTTACTTCATTCTCTGTGTTTCTACTTGCTGTGCCTTTCTGGCTTTCGCAACACTGGATGTCAAATTAATTTGGTCTCTGTCCCTGAAATCGGACTGTCTGGGCCAGGAGGAGTCACAGTTCAGCCTTCCAGAGTGGGCAGTGGGCAGTGTCAGTCCAGCTCCTGGAAGCTCTTAGGATGCTGGGCCATGCCCCCTTATGTCATTGCATGGGGTTGATGGGCTCCCACAGAGCCTCTGTGAGGTAGAGAGTGGGTAGGCTCTAGGGAGAACCAAGGACTAAGGTAGCTGAGCTCCCTGCTTTGATTCTGTGAGCCAAGAGGATACAAGACCCTGATGGGTGAGCAGTGACCTGGAGGCCTCTGACGTCGCCTCTGGCCCGTCTCCCTATCTGCCAAATGTGTGGGTGAGTAAGTGAAAGGTACAGGGCGTGAGGCTGAAGCAAAGGGCCTGGGGACTCTTACGTGGTGAGTATGAACCTGGCCTCTGGACCAAAGCTGGGAAGAATAAACCAAGGCAAAGAAATGCATTTCTTGGGTTTGTGTTTCTACCCTACCTATTATCAGGAGGCCTCTTTTCCACACTGTCTGAGCTCCCTTTTTGAGCAGGGTTCTGGACTCCGAGCTGGGGTGGGTGGGTGGAAGGAAGATACTGGGAGGAGGAATTCAGTCTGCTATGGCTGGCAGTCTCATGGGGGTTTATGGGGACGTGGGTGTGGGGGGATCTCTCCTTGGGGGCCTCTCAGTCCAACAGGGGAGACTTTGGCTTCTGCCCAAGAGATTGTCCTTGACCTAAGGCACCTTTAGGCCTAAAAGGGAGGGGTGTCAATTGTGAGGGACACATGCATGCCCCACATTCATATAAGCATGCTCACATATTCAAATCTGCCCTAGAGACACCACTTCCCTGAAGGAGGTGGAAGCCTGACTGTAAAAGATTGAGTTAGGGTCCTTAGATGGTTCTGATACAGATGTCATTATAAAACATGTACATGATTTCAGATATTTGTTGATGCCAATCTAGATAAGATATTCTATTTTACATTAATTTGTATGATGAGTCATTAATTCATTTCTCAAAAATCCAGTACTTGTACTTATATAAAGAAAGTATATTGCAGTTGACCCTTGAACAGCACAGGGGTTGGGAGCACCGAACCTCCACACTGTCGAAACTCTAACTTATAGTCAGCCCTCCATATATGCGGTCCCTCCATATTTATGTTTCTACATCCTTGGATTCAACCAACTGTGAATCACATAGTACTGTAATATTTACTACTGAAAAAAAATCTACATTTAAGTGGATACATGCAATTCAAACCTGTGTTGTTGAAGACTCACCTGTAGTTATCTACTGTATAACAAATTACCCTAAAACTCAGTGACTTCAAACAATGCACATTTGTTATCTCACCATTTCTGTAGGTCAGGACTCTCTCACCAGGCTACAGTCAAGATATCAATCCAAGGTCCATGGTCTACTTTGTTGGGAGCATTCAGTTCCAGGAAGATTGTTGCCTGGGGGTCGCCTTTAATTCCTGGCTGTGTGGGCCACGGCAGCTTGCTTCATCAAAGCATGCAAGCCAAGAAAGATATGAGTGCTAGCAAGACAGAAGTCTCAGTTTTCTGCAACGTAATCACTGAAGTGAAATCCCTCAATGTTGCCAGATTCCACTGGTTAAAAACAAGTTACTTAAGGGGGAATATGACACAAGGCTCTGAGTACTGGGAGGTGGAGATCACCCGGGGCCACCTTACAGACTGCTTCCCAGGTGGCCCAGTGGTAAAGAACCTGCCTGCCAACGCAGGAGATGTGGGTTTGATCCCTGGGTTGGGAAGATCTCCTGGAGAAGGGAATGGCAACCCACTCCAGTATTCTTGCCTAGAAATTTCCATGGACAGAGAAGCCTGGTGGGCTCTAGCCCACGGGGTTGCAAGAGTCGGGCATGACAGCATATACTCGACTTAAGCAAGGACTCGTGACGCGTTGGCCAGTCTGTACAGGCCTCACCAAAGCCAGTGTTAGTGCTTCCTCCTAAACACAGTATGAACAGGGAGCAGAGACAGGAAAGCAGCGACATCTCTGAACTTCTGGTCAACGAAGACTTCCTGGAGGAAGAAGAGCCTAGAGAATGAGTGGAAGTTGAGACAACAGAAGATAGTGATTCCTAGGGCAGACTGGACCCCAAGTGTCTTGGATCCTCCAGTTACTAGCTGTGCCTCACTTTTTTCAACTGTGAAATGAGTCAATTAGTGCTTTTCTCATAGAGATGTGAGAGTTCAGTAAGTTTACAGATGCATAGGGCTTAGAACTGAGCCTGGCATAGAGGAACGAATCCATAAATGTTAGACTTGTTCACGGACCGGCAGAGGCTGAGGAGGCCATCAGAGGAGGAGATGCAGCTGGGCAGTTTTGTTGTGTGTTTTTGTTGTTTAGTCACTAAGTCAGGTCTGACTCTTTGTGACCCAATGGACTATAGCCCCCCAGGCTCCTCTGTCCATGGTTTCCCAGGCAGGAATACTGCAGTGGGTTGCCATTTCCTTCTCCATGGGATCTTCCCCACCAAGGGATCAAACCTACCTCTCCGGCTTTGGCAGGTGGATCCTTTACCCCTGAGCCACGAGGGGCACTGTGTGTTGTGCCCTATTTTAAAAATCATTACTGAAGGGCCTTGAATTCCAGATTTATGAGTTTAATGGGATGCTGGTGGTGAGAAGAGGAGCATGAGACAGGAGTGTTCCAAACCAGACCTCAGATCCACACTCATATACATGCCCACACCCACCAGGCACCCACAGACACAGAGGCACCAGACCCCAGGCCTATGCAGGCGCGCGCACACACACACACACACACACACACACGCACTCACTCACTCCTGGACACAGACCCACACGCGTCCTTCCTCCTCCTTCCCCCACCCTTCTCAGAAAGAAAACTGCACCCAGCCTGTCGAGGGAGAGGGTGGGTGAGGAAGGTAGGGGAGTGAGGGGTGAGATGGGAATTCTGCACTGATCAGACCTCTGACTCTCCCAGCCCCGGCACGGAACAGCCAAAAATGTGTCTGTTCTTCTTCTCTAGGCCTGAAGGCTTCCCTAGCCAAACCTTATCCTTCCCCGATCCTCCCCACAAACCGCTAGGCTCAGAAGCAGTGGGTCTTTAATAGCCCCATTCTCTTCGGTCACCTGTAAATTTGAGATGAGACGGGCCAGCGGGAAGAGGGAGGTGGCTCTTGGAAAAGCGGGATCGTCGTACTAAGGTCAGGGCCGGGGGAGGGGCTAGGTCCCCCAAGGAACTGCACCCGCCACACACACACACACACACACCGCGGATGAAAAAGGGCTTGGGCCGTGGGAGGAGGCGGTCCTGGGGGCTCCTGCCGTGGGGGGCCGAGACCCTGCTCTACAATGGGGCGCGAGGTGGAGCTCGAGAGCTCCGCGCTGGGGAGGAGGGTGAGGGCCGGAGGACTGCGTTCGGCGGGTGTTCGGCGGTCCCCGGGCGGGGCTCGGCCCCCGAAAGGCACAGACAAAGAGGCAGCCTCCCCGGACCCCCGCGCCGCCTCAAGCCGGGGACTCAGCACAAAGCGAGGGGCGGGTAGAACCGAGGACACCCCACGCGCCGGCGCGCACGGGACTGTTGATCCGCACGATTGGGAGCGACGTTTCCTGCGCTTAATCCCAACAAGCATGAAAACGGCTAGAGCGGCCCGCCAGCAGGCCCTTTGTCCCGGCCCCTCGCGGGGCAGCTGCAGCCGGGATCCCTCCCCCCTTTTGTGTCTCCTCCCCCGCGCCCCTCTCCGCCCTCCCCACCTCAGCTGCCCGGAGGGCCGCAAGCCTCCCAGGGCTCTCGCCTCGGGCGCTTGGGCTGCACAAAAGGGGCAGCGCCCCTAATCTGGGGGAGGAGGAG